CCCATGCCTGCCTAGGAACCCTCTGAAACCTTATGGGAATCTATCTCCAGAAAGTGTTTGCCCCTTTTGCCAAGCCTCCTTGAAGAACATTTGTATTGGGTCTGGTTTTTAATCTGCCTTGGCCTCTGTGCATGGGCTCACCTTCACATTTGATTCACACTGTGTCCCTCCACCCCCATGACTACCAGGGCCCACGGATGATGGCTAGTGTTACTGTCATTGACTTGCCTGAAGGTGCTGCACACTGCCTCTTTAGTGTTATTCTAGCTCCCAGGCCTCTCGGGACCACTCTCAACATGGTAGTCCTGCCCCACCAGTGTCTGTCAGGTTCTTCCAAGCATCTTTCATGAAGTAAAAAAGTCCTTTGCAGGGGTTTAAGCAGTATGGGATGTTTTGTGCAGAGGTCCTGTTTCTCTCAACTCAAACCATGCTTACCTCATACCTCTGTCCTCCTGAAGTCACCTCAGCTTCCAGCCTTAGCATCTCATGAAATACAAGCCAGACAATGAAGAAGAGAGCTGGGGAGGAGAATTATGGAGACACGGGGTGAATGGGAAGTGTGCTAATGATGCTGAGCTGTTTCATGGAAAGTCATAGGACTGAACCTAGGCATACTCAAATTACAGCAGCCATTTGTTGTCTAGCTTCTGTAACCTTGCCACACATTGTGGTTCCTCCTCTTCTGACATGATTTCTACCCCAATGTTCAGAATAATCAACAATAAGAAATAAGGTAGAAAATGTCCAAGACCCAACAAACAGTCATAATATATTTCTGCTTGTTGATAACCTACCAGTAACAAAACTTTGGCTTTAACATGGACTTATCTCTTACATACGACATATATCTTTCCAAGATGTAACTTACCTCCCAAGGCCATGTTCCTCAGCGGTGCTCAGTTTATGCTTTGTGCTGTAGCATAGTTTCTTATGAACTATGTTTTACCCAGGGACTAAAAGATGGACTGCAGACTTCACAGTTCATAGTGCCTGGAATTTCTGATTGCTAACTTCACTCAGATTTGAATTTAAAGAGAATTTAGACAATGCTGGGAGCAGAGGGTGATTGAAAAACACCCACACTCTGTTTTCAAAACAAATAAACTAAAAACCTGGGCAGTGATGGTGTGTGCCTTTAATCCCAGCACTCAGCAGCAGAGGCAGGTAGATCTCTTTATCTACAGAGTGAGTTCCAGTAGACAGTCAAGGGTACACAGACCTGTCCAAAAGACCAAAACCCACCAAGTAAACAAACAAGCAAACAAACAAACAAAACCTTACTGATAGGTTGGAATTCAACGCTTATTCTAGAACACAGAGCTCTATTTAACATGGAATTTGACAGCTTGTTCCTTTAAACACCCCTCATATTTATAGCTAACCCCACAACTCCATTGTAACAGCAAAGCTACACATTTCCCTTTCTTCCTAGCTCATTACTCCAATTGTCACTGAATGTCTTGAAACCAAAATTTCTTATTTTCTTGATAACTAAAGAAAAATTTAAATAATCTGAAGTTTTAGGTACCTGACCATTCCATATCCTTATGAAATGGGTTTTTTAAAAATCCATGTGACAGACTTCAATGACTAGATTTACTTTCTAAATTCTAACTTTGAAAGTACATTGGAACAGATTACAAAGTCAACTTCATAGGCATAGAAGGCTGGGATGCTGAGGTGATTCATTGATTAAACCTGGTAATATTAATTCAATTGCTAAATCACAGGTTGAAGGAAAGGACAAACTCTTGTAAATTCTCCTCTACCTCCACATATGTGTTCTTGAATGTGCATGATGGGCAAACACACAGACACATTGGGACAAACACACACACACACACACACACACAGAAAGAGAGAGAGGGAGAGATAGAGATACAGAGAGAGAGAGAGAGAGAGAGAGAGAGAGAGAGAGAGAGAGAGAGAGATTAATCTAAACATCAGAAACAAAATCAGAAGAAAAATTACAGACATTACAGACATACAAAATCAGAAGAAAAATTACAGACATACAAAAATTTTACTAGATAATATGGCAGTTGCATGGTCAAAAGAACTACCAGTGTATGGGGAAAACACCAGGGAATAAAAAGACACTAAAGATGCATGTTCCAAAGAAAGCCATATATAATACCAAAGAAGCAGAAGCTATGAAGACACAAATGCCTCAAGGTACTGAATGAAAGATGGGATGACTCCTTATAAACTGATACTTTAAGGTGAGTCTGAGGTTGAGGTAGATAAGGCAGATAAAGTACCTGCCCTCTCCTTGTTTTATGAAGAGCAGAAAAGTCTTAAAAAGAGTCACCCTTAAAGCATCAGGATTAAGAGACCAATATAGTCTGTGTCTGACACAGCACATAACCACCATCAGAATAAATGGAACCAAAAAAGTCAAAACATAGAAGACAAACACTCAGATGAATAAGTCAAAAGAAGTATCCATCAAATTACTGCCCAGACTCAACATTCCCCATTTACACCATGGACTGGAGTGAGAATTTTGGTTTCTTTGAAAAACATTGAAATTGAAATATGTTTTCATTTTAATCTCAAGTGTGGGATATGGGGCTGCTTCAGATTGTCCACAGAAGCTGACTATAATTTGCCTCATGCTCTAGCAGGGGAATAACTTTGCTAGCCACAGATAGTTTCTGATTGTGTGATGTTTGGAATTCTGGGGACTTCTCAAAGTGTGTATAAATGCTAGGGCCCTGAGAAGCAGGACGGGTTCTTGGTTCTTTGCAGTTTGATAAGTTGTTGCATGCAAAGAAGAAACAACAAAAAGAAATTAGATAGCCTGATGGCAAATATCAAATTTGCCCCCAAGGAACTAAACAGCCCAATCAACAGGAAATAGTCTAAGGATAATGTTTTTCCCCACTATCCCTTTTTCTCTCTTATCTAGTGTTACGGGGCTCAAACCGTGGAAAAACAGTGGAAGAGGGTGGAAGAAAGAAGAACTCAGAATAGCAAATCACTGACTATAATGGATACTGCAAAAAACACATCTTTGTCTTTAGTCTTAACTTCTTATAGGTTAGGGGTCAGAAAGTTTTTTCTGTACAAGATTCTTGCCAAAGACTACATCATCTCTTCTGGCCCTAGCTATCCAGGATTGAGGCAGAGAAGTGTATACAGAAACAAATGGGAGTGACCGTGTTCTAATGACATTTTATTAACAAGACTAGGTTGTGGAATGGATTGGACTTATAAGCCATAGTTAGCCAATCTATGTCAGAGATGAGCCCAAGCAAGGACAGCATCACTAGTGGGTTCTAACAAAGTAGCCACCTTTCCAATGGCCCATGCTGGGGGTGGAGAGACATTCTTTTTTAACACATGAAAGAGCAGAAGTGGGAAGGAAAGAAATCAAGATTCTAGAAATAGCAAAGAGATGTTCACTTGACATTCTGAAACTGTGCTATAAATGGGAGAGGACAGCAAGACCAAACATTTCATTGCATATTTAGAGTTCTTCCGCTGGACTTCACATCCAGAGAAGAGTAGGCGCCTGGACTGGGGAAGAAAATCCTTCAGTTTCTTGTGTGTCTTGGTAGGTTGCTGCTGACGGTGATCATGATACAGTGACATCTCACCCCCTTGACCACGGAAGTTTCCTGACTTTCTCAATGCCCTCGTTGCATTTACCCTCTCTGAAGTGTCTCTTCCCCCACCCCAATCCCTGCAAAAAGGAAAACCAAACAAAAACTCAGTCACATCAGCATAAAATTTTATTCTTTCAGACAGCACGTATCACCCATGGTGCCTGGAAACACAAATTTAGTGACACTGGTAAATGTGCTTCATCAGAGGCCTCCACATTGTCAAGAAACACGTAGCATGCATTACACTATAGAACTCAAAGGTTTGCACCCCACCCCCAACCATCCCGTAACTGGCAAATGGAGTCATAGAATTTTAACTGGAAATTGCCCTCCTACAGCTGCCTTTTTCATTGACTAGGTGGTTAGTGGGTACTACCGTTTGAATCTTGACTATTACAGGGTTAAAGTTTTGGTCCTCAGCCCATTGGTGCCATTAAGGAGGTGGTTGAGTCTTTAGGAAATGGGGTGTAGTAGGATTTGGGACGTTGGGAACATGACCTTGAAGGGTACTGTAGAATCTTACCTGCATGCTCACTTTCCCACCCCTGATTCTTTCTCTTTTGCCTTCCTTTCCCTTTAGTATAAAGAACTATGTATATGAGTGTTTTACCTGCATATGTCTGTCCACCACACGTCTGCAGTACTCACAGAGGCCAGAAGAGAGCATTGCATCTCCTGGCACTGGAGTTATCAGTTGTGAGTGCTGAGAATCAAATCTGGGTCCTCCTGGAGATCAGTCACTGCCCTTAACTGTTGAGACATCTCTCCAGTTCAGCCTCTCCCCTTTTCAAGTTTCTATTAGGAGTGGCTACTCACTCCCTTAACACAGGCCCTAAACCAGAATATACTGCAAACTCCAAAACTGTGAGTCCAAACAAACCATTTATCTTTATAAATGGATCATCTCAGGTACTTGTTACAGTAATGGAACAATCACACAGTAGAGACTTTGTTCCCATGGGTAGAAGGGTTTCATTTTGGAGATGCTCTGAGCTAGCCACAGAAAACAGAGAGTCTGATCCAGCAGCCTCTGAGGGAGTTCATGAGGTCAAAAAGTCCTTCCAGGTGAAGGCCTGGTCAGGCCAGGGCTTATCAAGCTACGGTTGTTGTCAACAATACTGGTTGGATCTCCTTAGAACTGATAGAATGCAGCATCCCTGGACCAGAACACTGGAAGGTAGGTAGTCCTCTTGGTTCCTACCAAGTCCTCATGCTCCGTGCTGTGATCACATGCAGGAGCATTCCAGCAAAGCAAACCTTTGCCTTCTACTTTGCAGTCCAATGTGTCTTCTTTATCAAGTGCAATATGGGCCTTCCCTCCAGAGTTCTCTGTTCCACTGTTTCTGTGCGTTACATTGCTGGTCTCTGCTCCTCTTGGGAAGAGCAACATCAGAGCAAGGGAAGCATGAAGAGCCAGGCCAGCACCAGGAGGTAGGGTCTGGGGACACCGGGGACACTGCTTCCAGACGTCCTCTGCGCATGCATTACAGCGAAGACTGCATTTGTGTGGTTGGTGGGCAACTCTACATTACAGATCATTCCTTCACAGCAAGACCTACACTCCTGTGTACAAGGAGGGAAGAGGAATAGGAGTGAGGAACAGGGAGGAGGAAGAAACAAAAGCAAACAAACAAAAGAAAGACAGGCCCTGGAGTTGATAGTCCAGCCTGTGGGTACCCTTCCTCTGCTAAGCAAAGACTACCATGAGAGTCTTCATCCTAATTCTTGAAGTACCTGTGTCAAACTCAAGCCTAAATGAAGCAAAGAAGGGAAACTGAATTAGACTGCCTAGTTGTCAGATCTTGAAAGATTTATTAGAAAACAATGAAACCAAAGTGAAAGTCAGGAACCTTCTGGACTTATTGGTCTCTTTCTTAGTATTATTTGCTAGGTGATAACGTTGACTTGCCATTGTCTGTGCCCTCACCTCGGTCCTGTAACAACTGCAGTGATAATTTGCTAAAATAAAAACTAAAAACAAAATAAAGTTTCCATTCTTAAGAGTGCTTTCAAGGGAAGCAACCTGTGACATCAATAGTGATGCATGCCTGACCTGAAGCCATGACTTCATGAACTGGCCACTCATACATGTTTCCAGGCCAATGAAGCAGCAGAAAGGCAGCAACTTCAAGAACGGCCATGAATGGCTGTCCAGCCAGCTGCCCATCAGATTTACCCAGGGGAAAGTTTTTATTTTCCTATTCAAATCTTGCTATGTAGCCCAAGCTGGTTTCATACTCACAGTCCTCCTGCCTCAGCCTCCAGAGTACTGGGATTACAGATGTGAGCCACTGCACCCAGCCTGGTTACGTTCTAGAGATCTTGATTCCCTAGACCTCTATGTGAAGTTCCACTTCAATCAGTCTAGGCTGCTCCTTCCAGCCTCGCCAGCTCACTTCACCGTTGCTGTCATGTGGCCCTTGCATGTCCAGAGCCAACAGTCACTAAGTCAGAGTCAGTGACTTATATGCTACATTGAATTCCAGAATCTCATGAAATATATTTTCAAATTATTTCCCTTCAAACTTTAGGATCTCTGCATATAAGAGAACACTTTTGTTTGTGGTGATAGAATGAGAATATTAAAGAGATAAATTAATCCAATACATATCTAAATTTATCTTATTCTCTTAGACTATTTCTCCTCTGAGCAGAAATGCAGAGGGAGACAAAGTTTCAATGGCAAATCTGTTCCTGTTTTTTCTTTTCTATCTTCTAGTTACTCCAGGATGGGGTTGTAGTGATTTCTGGCCAGAAACAGAGCACATATCATCTAGACGCCAGTGCCCCTTACTCTCTGAAGGATGGGTTATTCCTGAGCTTCCAGCATGGGCTTCAGACTATTTGTGCAAGTTCTGAAGCCCAGAGTTTAGCTCTAGAGCCTGGAAATTAACATTTATTCTTAGCACCATTATTTATTTTTGAAGACAGAATATCGTCAAATGTCTGCTCTCATTGGCACCATTGTAGAATCTTTTTGTCAGAGTACAAACAAACCTAACACATTGCTTCTCCTTCTTGGTTCCCCCATGATGCATAACGTACCACCATCCCATGAAGTGTGGGAAAGTAACTCCATGCACACATAATCTTTACCGTGTGTTCCGAATCTCGGCTGTGTCGGCAGCCAACAAAATGACATTCATTTTTAGAGGCACACTTTTTAGTGATGGATGTACTTCTCCCACGGCTGGTGAAGTGATGAACCGTCAAACAATACTGTGTGTCTAGGAAATTTTAACAAGAATAAAAACAAATTTATTTCCTGTATTGCAAAAGAGACCCCTTGACCGTAATGCCAGAAAAGAGTAAAAATCGGAATAGTCTTAAGGCTCAGAGGTGAATGCTAGAGTTTCTGGGTGGTATTTCTGCCAAGACATCAGCTTCCAAAATACACATGTGTTTTGAAAATGAATATAAATGGGTATCCAGTTCCTTTGGCATTAGCTGAAGCTGAGAAAAAATGTGCAACGTTTTCATCCATCCTTGGGTCTGGTAATTGAATAGGCAAGTATTTATGTCCCTGGCCTGCCCTTTCTTCCTCTGAAGCATGTGTTCGGGAACTTTAAATTAAGACAAAACCTGTGAGCACAAAGACACAACATGTCTGGGGACATGGTGTCTCACTCATCATTTGCTTCTTATAGGTCTCCAGCTACATACCAGCTCACCCTTCTTCCTCGTCTTGCTTATTCAGATTCAAAGCCTTCTAGCATGTTTGACTATTCCTCATCAATGTACTCCACATTCCCTGGCCTTGCCACTTCCTGTCTCCCTGCTCTGTATAGTTAGCTCATTTCTACGTAGTTATCCTCACTGCTTTAACCATCCATTTTATGACTTAGCATTCTTGTCAGAAAGTAGACCTTATGGCATCATAGGATATTCTGTTTTAGTCCTGTGTCTCCTTGTCACTACCAAAGACCATGGAAATGCTTGCTAAGTTATTCACTATGGATTCCAATAGCAAATGACTGGGAGAAAATGACCCAAGATTGAGAAGACAAAGTGTGTGTCACAAGTACGTCTCCTTCGATCCTTTAAGAACACTGTGATTGTTTTAAAATGAAATCTTAATACTTACAGTGGCATTTTGATAACTTTAGTAAAATTTACAATGGCAAATACATTCATATTGTAGAAATACTCTGTTATCTTCTGTGTTCATTCTTTCAATCCTCACCATGAACCTTTGGAAGGTCATAGACCATATTAACATTCTTTATTGTTGTTGTTACTTTAGATCATATCTCATTATGTAGTCCTGGCTGTCTGAAGCTCTCTGTGTAGACCAGGCTGACATAGAATTCACACAAAGATTCTCCTGGCCCTGCTTCCCACATGCCATGGTTAAAGGTGTACACCACCATCTTATCCACAATCATACTGTTAGAAAAAGTTCTATAGGTGTAAGGTAGAATGCTAACCAAGGAAGGTGTCAAGGATTTGTGCTCTTAATCAGTACAGTTGGCTGCAACCCTGGATACTCATCCTTGAACTAGACAAAGGCAGTTGACATTGGAGTCTAAAGGAAAGGGAGGCATTACATATTTTGGAGAAGGCATTTAAATGTATACTCCAAACTCAGAATAAATGGAAACTGATGTCTGCTTGTGTTTATCCAGAGCCCTGTACACAGCCCACAAATGAAAGTAGCCTCTAACCAGTCAACACAAATGCTGTTGTAAATGAAACAAGAAATATCCATGTGGTCATGTCATGTTACATAGACAGCCTTTTAACAACACTGGCAGACCACAGGTGAGTCTTTATGGAGAGAGGGAAGCCTGAGATGACAAAGATCAACAGCTCCAGGCCTACTGCTGGAGATAAATGGCTATCATTTTCCTAAATAACATCAAAGGGAAACATAAGAAATGACACCTCAGTTATTATTCCAGATGGTTAATGTCTTGAGATTTCACTAGTGGGTGACCAAACAAATGAGCTCTCATGCTGTGCTGAAAGGTGGGGTCATTCCACAGTGGTCTATAAAAGTCTGCTTCTCAGATGGGCTTGGTAGAGTCAACTACACTCCCTTCGCTGTTGCTGACACTGGGCGTGAGAAGCTACTATCTCCTGTTTTTGCTTATCTATGGTTCAAAAGAGATGCTATTTGGGCTGGAAAAATAGCTCAGCACTTCTTACTTTTCTGAGGGAGCTGGGTTTAATTCCCAGCACCCACATGGAAGCTAACAAGCATCTATTAACTCTGATTCCAGGGGATCCAATGTGTTCTTCTAGTCTCCTTAGACTAGACATGCATGTGGAGCACAGACATATAAAGAAACAAAATATACATAAAATAATTGAATCTTTAAAAGATTTCTTAAATAAACAAAAGAGATGATAGTCTAAAACTCAGAAGCAGGTAAAAGGCTTTGGTTGATAAACCACAAATTAGAGCATTATGCACAGACACAGTAAGCACAGACTTTGAGAAGCAATTCAAATAATGGCATAATCCATAAAGGGAAGACCAATGAACAGGTAAACTTTAAAGCTATTCTAACCAGTCTACTTGGTTTTTAGCAGAAATTTAAAGAAGTAGTTAAAGAATTATGTTAGTTATCAACCAACCTTAAAACTTTAAAATAATTGTAACCAGTCTCTTCTGAGTGGATTTAAAGTCTACTCTATTAGATGGAATTTATGCCTGGTCCTATTAACTGGGCTAAAACCTGGTGGCTAGCTAGGTCCTAGGTCCTAGGAGAGAATCTTCTGCTATTTTCTGCTAAATGAACATAGCAATAAATTACCCCCAAGTTCTTACCTTTATACCCATAGATTAGTACATCTCCGAACCCTCACCAAAGAATCATATTTTTACAGAACAGAGCGATTACTACAGAGAGTCACAACAGGCCAGTGTGCAAAAGATAAGAATGTAGAATGCTTGGTGCTAAAGAGGACAGCTGTATCCCAGCCCCTACTTCCAAGGCTCGGGGATTATCATGGAGAAGAAGGGGACAGAAAGATTTTAAGAGCCAAGAGGAGTCGGTATCTGCAGTGAAACAGTATTTGCCAGCCATGACAGGGCCATTGCACACATGAATGCACGGTGGCTCTGCCTGCACACAAAAGAACTGCATAAGCTCGAGCCAAACAAAACTCTACCACAGTTGAGGAAGGAACCCAGGAAATCCTACTCCTAGCTGAATAGCTCTCAGTGATTGATGACTGTTCAGGTTTCTTCAGGATGTGGCCCCTGAGAGGATACTTATGAGCTAACATATTGTCCGTCACCCATCCCCACTCACTGTACTCAGTGGGTTAAACACACACACACACACACACACACACACAGACAGACACACAGACACACACACACAGACACACACACACACACACACACACACACACAAAACCCTTAAATTCAAGGGAAAACAGAGGTATATGTAGGGGAGTGAGGTTAGGGAGAAACTGGAGGAGAATGAAGAGGATTTTATTAAAAGGAGTTATATGCGTGTATAAAGTCCTAAATAGAAAGGAATCATTCAGAACACTGAGAAAAATGTTTGTGGACACATGAAGGAAGATCTACACAATCACACATGTACAAGTATGTAATAATATAATAATTGCTTCTTCTAGAAACAAAGATAATAAGAAACACTGACCATATGGATACTACAGGCATGAACATTTAACTTAGCAGTAATTCTCAGTAATATATCCAGTAGGATTTTTTTTTTACGGGGGTGGAGGCAATTCCACAGGTTTCCTATATCTGCAAAAAAATTAGGCCATTCTACTACTACAAATACCGCAATAGAAACTCTCAAAGATTCATGGTAATAGATGAAAATCAGTAATTTCTAATTCTGGAGGTCTATTCTGCTCTTTGTTTTTCTTAGGCCATTGCATCTGACAACCTAAAATCAGAATATAGTCCAGTCTCGTTACAGTTCCCTCAGGTCCAAAGTCCTAACAGCATATTCTCTCTGTTTTACTTCCAGCTTTGTATGAAAACATTCAGTTTCTTCACAACTCAATTTCTACCACCTGCAGGTAGTTGCCATCTCTTCCAACCAAACACTATGACAGTCTCCACTTGATGTATTCTTTGACTCCTGTCCCCAGCTGTCCAACAGCAATGTTTCAGGTCATGGTCTGCATTGTGCATTCCAACTTCCATACTCTATCAGGCAAAGAAATCTCTGCATGTCTTTGCACTAGCCTCTCTCGGTTTGTTCCTCTGTGTCCCACTGTGCCACAGTGACCAACCAGTCTCTTTGTGTTCACTGAAAAGTCCACACACCTATTGCCTCTGGAAGCCTTTACAGTTGAGAGTTCCCTTCCAGTCACACTTTTTCTTCAGACTTCCTTCTTTTGCCCATTCAGGTCTTTGTTTTAATGTCTATTGAGAAAGGATTCCCCATGGCTACCTCGTCAAAGGCATCTATTCCTCTTTCAGCAAGTATTTACTGAGTGCATATTAGGAGCCGGGCATAGGCACTGGACTGGGCACTGGAGACGTGTCAGTAAACTACCAAAGATAATCAGATGTTTGTTAGGGGAGTGAATGAGCTTCCTAAGCAACACTGAATCTCTAGAGTAGAGTACAGAACCCTTTCTTTGCTCTAAGCCAGTAAGTATGACTTTCCTAGGGTATCATCAAGCATCAGACATTTCTGGAATTGTTTGAATGCCTTAGTCTACACTGTGGTTTCTGACTTTTTGATAAACACCTTTTAAGAAATCTTTTCTCATGATACATACAACTGCATGCTGAGTGTGTGTGTGTGTGTGTGTGTATGTCTCTTTGTGTGTGTGTGTGTGTCTGCGTGTCTGTGTGTCATCCATCCCTAGGTTCTCTCAGGATACTCTTGTCTACACAATCTTTCACAAGAGATCCAGGACCCCATTAGAATCCCGTTGGCCTATGTTGGCATACTAATCTATAATATAAGACATCTCCCTCCAGCTAAAAGGAGGATCTAAATAAATGAGGTCACAAAAGAACCTGGAAGAGTCTTCGAAGCTCGGATACTCACCCTGTGGACACCACTTATCTTCTGCCCATCGATTGCAGTTATAATTGTCTGCTGCATTTTCACAAGTAAAACACTTGAAACTGTTTGGGAATGGTGTGGCTTTAAAAAGAATAAAGTAACGTCACAAAAGGACAAAAATTTTCAAACACCAAAAGCACAAAATTCGCAACGTTATTAGATGAAACAAAACATACAAGACATCCTCCTCTTTGGAATGCCTGTGTCCCAAAATGGAATGGCTCCACAAGCTATTTTAAAAGATCTACTATATGATTCTATTAGTACTTACTCTTCAGAAATAAAAGGGGTTGAGACAGAGGGCAAGGATGGTAGTGGAATTTGAGATTATATAACATATACATACACAGATACAGACACAAAACATATTCGCACATACATGTGGAGGAGCTAGATAGACACAGATTCTTTGGAACATCCTGAAGTATACAGAAAATAAAAAATGAAGAACAGCAATGACATACACCTCATGTAGGGCTAGGATGAAGACATCCCTCATCCTGCCTGTACATCATCAGCACCAGTAAAGCAAGAGAAGAGGAAAAAGGAAAAGAAGAACATCTCCCACATCTCATCATCGGGATTACTATTTGACTACTACACTAGAGACAGAACTTTGATGCAACATTAATCCTGTATAAAATGGTAAAGAAGACCCAGGTCATTCTCTCGTCTCAATTTCAAACCTCCTGATGAGTTTGAGTTTTCAAAAAGGGTTAATATCCATTTGGAAGAATGGGTGTGCCATTTCTGCAGGAAATTTCCATAGCCAATTATCTCTGATGAAGAAATCAACAAAGATTCCTGAATTTCCTCTGGCAGGTCATCAGAGACAGTGCTCACATGAGTCTTACTTACACTTGTGTTCTTAAAGGAGAAGCCTTGTAAAACAGTAGCAGGAGGCCACTATTCTAAAGAAGAGAGAAGCTTTTCGTCACTGCACTCTTATCCCAGCATTCACTCTAGGTAAAACCAATCATTCTAGAAAGGTGTGGTAGATGGAAACGGGACACCAAATGAACACAGAATGAGGACCACAGCCCCTACTTACGATCAAGAGGGGGCCTCACATTGTAGAAGTTGATGTTCTTAGCAAACACCCAGTTCTCTGAGATGATCAAGATCTGAAGGATGGTCACAGCTAGAAGGTGGCAGAAGAGCAGCATTCTGTCCTCCCTGATTGGACAAGTCAAAGTCGTGTGTCTGCCATGGAAACACAGACTGGGTCAGCTCATTTGTTTTTATACATCAATGAAGGTTATGTTCTGCACCAGCTTGGAAAGCTCCAAGATTCCACCTGTCAAAAAGGGTCAGGACCACACATATCATTCAGATCAAAATTAAGTAATTACTGCCTTCTACTGGCCTGATAAAATGTCAACAGGACACTCAGTGTTCCTCTCTGTCCAGGAACACAATCTTCTGGTACTGGCCTAGCTACACCTCCTTTGTCTGGAGATAGCTAGTTGATGATCTGCATAACAATGGAACTTTTTTTTTCTTCAATCAACTCTGGTTCCTGGTTAATTTACCTGGAGTCACTTCTTTCTGAAATCCTTTCTCTAAATAAACAGAGGAATTTGATCAATTTTTCAATGCCATCAAATCCTGAGAGAAACCACGAAAGTAAAGTTAGTGGAGCAAATAGTGACTAAGGCACAGAAAGTCTGCACTACAGTCTCTGCTGATCCTAGAGCTTACAGACAGAGAGTAGAGAAGGGAGCAGCATTAGAGGTGCCAGCTCCTCCTACACCTGTCACACTGGGTGCAAGGACAAGCCACCAGGATGCTCCAGAGGAAGCCATGAAAGTAAAGTACTGGAAACAATATAATGATACTCCTGGTCCACAAACATTATTGCCTATGTTCATAAGGGATTGAAACTCAAAGGAATGACAGAAATGCACGTGGCACTGAGTGAAGGACATGACCTTTTGGGACCCCACAGAACCCACAGACTCTACCCTTTGAAGCCAGCCTCGTGGGAGTAGGTAAAGTTGCAGTCTCATCACTGACAGGTTGTCTGGTCAGGGAAATGTGAGTGTGGGCTGCAGAAGACAATGTGCAAACTTGGAGTCCAAAGGTTCAGGTGCTGGATCTGTTGTTTACTAGCTTCCTGACCTTGGGCAAGCTCTTTAAACTCCATTAACCTCAATTTCCTCATCTGTAAAATGGCTTAATAATACCCATACTACCCACACATTTAGATAATTGTGAGCATCAAATACATGTTCAGATAGGATCACATAGCCTTATGTGAATAAGACACACATAATAAAGAGTTCTGCAGAAACACTAGAGTTCAATAGAATCAGCCTGACTCATTTTCTTCTTGCTGAATCAGCTATCGTGGTGGCTGAGGGAAATTTTCAAAGAAAAGTGGTTTGATATGCATATATTCGTGCATCATGGTTCTTCACATTAACTTTTTTTAAGCCAAGGTACTAGTGTGTGGGTTCCAAAATTCTGCTTCTTCTCTTGTGGTGTTTGCATGTAAGTAACATGTAAGCAAGGGGACTGAACCGAATATCAGACAAAATGTTGTGGCAATAATCTTCTTTTCTTACAGAGGACCTTTCTGAAGACAAGAATGAGTCACTAAGGATGTAGTCGGTAAAAGAAAGCACACTGGTGGAATTTCTAAGAATACAATAGATTTGATTTAGTTTTATTTACATCAGCACATAGACCCAGAAATGCTAAATATATTTTCTAGTTCATTTTAATAAGTAAAATTGAAACTTTAGAAGCCATGCTTACAAATTTCATTATTGAAGGTCTTTCTGAGGAAATAGCCAGCTCCATTATCAAATCAAGTGGTTATACTGGAAAACAATTCTGCTTTTCCTATTCACACATTGAAAGTGGTCCATCTCAAAGCTACGATGAATCAACAGTCAAAGGTTAGAACCCAGTATCCCAATAGAGGCTCTTTATCATGGGGTGATGAGTTCTTTCCCCCTCAAACCTCAGAATGACTGTGCCCTAACAGCAAACCACAATGTCTGTGTAATATGAGCAGCCTCCTAAGATCATGGATTTCAGATGCCCACTGTCTATACTTAGATTCTCTTTCATAACTGAAGCTGTGGGACCTTAGATGAATTTCTGAAGCTTCCCAAGCCCAGCTTCGTTTTCTGTAGTACAGTCTTAAGAAACAGCAGTTTTAAAATGAGGTTTCCATGACTTCATGCCTATGAAGGCAGAGGCTGAGGGCTGAGCCACAGTTGAAGCTATGTTTGTTGAATGCTTTCTATTGGGTGGCAAAGAGCGTTGGCTCAAATATCTGTTCCAGACCCAACTCTTGTGATGCCTGCTTCAAGTTCATTAACCTCTCAATAACACAGACTTTGAGCTATGAAATGGGAATGGTAATGTTTCTTTGTAGACATGTCGGAATAAAATTGGCTAAAGAACGTACAACATTTGAATTATTTAGTTGGTTATGTGCCTGGATTTTGGGTAATTCTTGTAAGCATTTACTGTGAGGTGAAAGGCTCCCAGTTTAAAACTGCAACTCAAAATCCCTGGTTTTCTAAAGTAATTTCCCTTTGAAACCAAAGCTTATTCATTCATTCTACATGTCATTATTGGCATCCTCTATGGGTCACACACTGTTAGTATTGACTTTCCAACAATGCCCTTTCTTTCCTGAGAACTGCATTTTTGAGGGAAAGGGCAACTCAAGGGAGTGTGTAATTTCAAATTATACAGTTATAAATGCCATAAAGGCAAAGCAATATGGTGATACCTTAGTAGGAGGGGAGGGGCTGTATCACATATGACAGCCTACGCACACCTCTCTGAGTAAGTGACATCTGAGCAGATGAATTAAATGAAGAGAAGACACAAGCTAAAACCAAAATCTAAAGAAAAGCAACCTAGATCCTATGGAAGGAACTCCAGAAAACAGGTCTGGATCATGGCTCAGCGATAAGAGCAGCTACTTGCTGCACATGAGGGCATGAGTTCAGATCCATATGAAAAGTCAGATACTCTACAAGTACCAGCTATACCCCACATGCATACCTGTAACTTGGTGTTGTGTAAGTGGAGATAGAAAGACTGACCAGGCTTGCTGGCTGTCGGTCCAGCTCCTGGTCTCTCATGGACAAGAAATGAAGAATGATATAATAGGACACCAGTTCCCTTACCTGGCTTCTGCATCATACATAGGTATGACCATCCACGCACATACCTCATACACATCCATGTACACAAACACACACACAAGGGTAGTGGCAGGTGTGTTTCGAGCACTCAGTGTACTGGTTTGGGAAAATGGATAGCTAGTGGATGAAACCTTATTACATAAGCACTTACCATAAAGATTTGGATCCAGGAAAATCAAGAAGTTGGAAAAAAACACAAATGTTGTATGTTTGTGTAGAGACATTCCCAAATCCCTAGTCTTGTTTGTTGCTTCTGGAGTAGAAGGGATGCAAGGAATGGTTAAGGCAGAGGATCCACCAAAACGTTCTCTGAAGGGCTCAAACTACTGAATGGAGCTCAAACGGCCTAGTCAGCAAAGGCTTGGTGAGCGTGAGCTCTAGCACCCATGTGAAAAGCCAAGCAGGCCAGTGTGTGTCTATGATTTCAGCTAGGGAAAGTGGAGACAGGGGGATCCCTAAAGCTAACTTGTCAGTCACCCAATCAGTGACATCCAGGTTCAATGAAAGATTCCCCAGGTTCACTGAAAGATTGAGAAGCTTGCTTTCTGACCTTTATAAGCACAAGCATACTTGTGCGCACATGTGTACCTCTCCACCCACCACACACAAATACAAGAACAAGCTAACAAAAACCTAGATGAACAAGTCTAAACATAAGACTTACTTTATGGATTCTAACTGGATTATTACCATTGTGCAACTGGGAAATTTGAGGCTCGGAGGCAGGAGACTTCCACTGTTATAGTAAGTAGCCCTTCAAAATGTTCCAGATGGTAACTTTTTATTATTAGCGATCTACAAAACAGAGAGGGTTTGAGTTCCATGGAGCAGTATCTACACAGCCTAAATATATTCTCATTTCTACTTTAAAGAGAAACTGTAAAGCCTTATTCTAGCAATAGTCTCTGAAACTGAAAAGGTTTGCCTGTCAAATGATGAACCAACAAAATAAAAGTGTCTTCTATTTCCTGAGCAGGTTTTATAAAGTAGTACCGTACACTGTCTCCTAACATCAGTGTCTGTCTTTTTCCGTATACAGACTTGCGTTACCACGACTGTTTTATTTCTCATCAGCAGATGGCATTAGGGTAGTGAACAAGTAAATGGTTAAATAGAGTGTCCTGGGGTTGCTGTACATTGAGAATCATAGAGCCTCTAAAACAAAATACATCTATGTGGGCATTGCTGGGCAGGTACTCACTGCTGACTCTGTCACAGGCAAGGTTACATGGGAGCTTGTATTTTGTTCCTTGGAGCGGGTGGAGTCTATAGTATGTGTTAGAGTCAACCAGGCTATTTTCTCCAAGGCCACTGCACAGACTAATGTTGCTTCTTCATGTAGGATGAGGTGTAACCCGTAAGGTTCCCAAGGTAATTGGTAAAACTGTGTGTGTAGATATATCTTCCTGGTGAAGGAGCTCAAACGGTTCTGAGACCCACATAATGGTGAAAAATGCAGCGTAGTGCTTCAGAATATAGCTGTAATGATTTTGCTTCCTGTGAGTGTATTCTTTTATTCTGACACTAAGACAAAAGTTCCACTGTACACCCTAGGATATATGTCTACCCCCCTCACACTCAAGCTCTAAATGTCTTTCTCCAAGAGAGCTTACTGCTCTCATCCATGTTTTCCAGAGACATGCTTGGGCAAAAACCCTGTGTGTGCGGTGCTGGCCTTCCCTGTGTTCTGAGTCCCTTCTTTAAATGATACAATAACTTGCTCCAGAATGCAAACAGTTTCTTTGCCAGGAGAGGAGAGAGATTTCTTCGAGGCACGTTTGTAAAGATACAGGAAGCAACTCTCAGGCATTCCAGAGAATGGCAGGTAGCCAGATTTGTAAGTTAAGGAACCCCCTCCTGAGACTGGCCCATACCTGCCCAGAATAAAAGACTTGATTCATGGGAGGGCGCTTGTGAACCATGGTTCACAAGCGGGACAACTTCCCAGGCCCCGGTGCTCTTAACATGCCATCATCACCTGAAAAGCTTGTGAGGACCTCAAGAAGCAGCATACAGCTGACAGCTTTTGAG